AATGTGTAAGTATTTCACTTAGTACATTCAATCAGATCACATTATTTAATATTTAGTAATCATTTAAGATGTAATCGCATGAATGAGTATCGTTTGTACTAACGAAGACACTTTTTAGATATTTTGTTGAAGGAAGAACAAATGACTTTTTAAAAAAAAATAAAATATGGATACAAAATATATTTTATATCAAAAGTAATTTGTTGACTTTATTCATTTTTATTATGATAACAAATGAAACTATTATTTACAACCAAAATTTATTTATAGTCACATGACTACACTATAAACAAGAAAAAAGAGGATGATAATATTGTCACAAATGAATTTTTCTTATGACATAAAGTAATTATTGAAGCAGTCAAAATTAATTTTTTCTACGACATTTGCATAAAATTAAATTTAATAAGTTCTTTATAAATTAAAATTTTATCATTAACAAACAAACTGTTGAATAATCTCAACGTAAAATTAAATTTTTGTCTATATCATTGTTAGCCCTTCTCAAATAAAAACTCAATTTCGTCCCTTGATAATCCAATAGTTACAATGGAACAACCTCGTGAAATCAAATTTTTAGTCTGAAAAAATATTCCAAAAACTATGTCAAACTAATTTTTTTTTTTTTTGTCTTTGGTGAGGCAAAACTTTTATAGATTAATTTCGGGGTCTTTTCCATCTATAAGTTCTATCCTGAACTAATCCCCTTTATTCCAGTCTACTTGTTGATTGATTTGCTCTTTCATAAATTTAGAAAACTTTCAATTACCTTTGAAGGAGAGCAAATCCTTGAACATATTCAATTTTGAAGCGATTCTCACCAAGAGAGAATTTGAAAATATTTCAAACCAGCCTCAGATTGTCGCACATATTTCACATAACATTACCTTTTTTTTTTTAATTTAACGCTCCAAAGTGATCAGAACAACTTACATTTATCTCAACTAATTCGCTCCTCGATTTCATTGAAGAGAAGCTGCGCACATAATATTACCTTTGTTTAAACCCGCATAACTACCTCATTAGTTCATTTTTTATGTAGTAAACCATATCCATGTCCCAAAAAAAAGATGTATCTTACAAAGAAAGAGTGAACTTGATAAATAACTTGCCATATATATTAAACAGTACCAGCCAAGGTCAAACACACAAAAACAAAAAGAAAAAAAGAGCATAGTTCCTTGTCATGAGCAGGTAGTAAAACCCTATCAAAAAACTGTCTAGGTGGAGAGCAGAAGATAACAGTCTCCACTGTTACATAGACAAAATGTGCTAGCTAGCTAGCTAGGACAAAGTGGAGCTAGCATTTATGGAGTTCGGGGCTTCTTGGGGCTACCCCCATGATGGTGCAATGGGTCCGGACCCAATGGAGCCTCTCTCAGTTCCCAACCGACCATGCTCTTGCCACCCCCAGTACTACTGCTTGTCTTCTCATGACCCATCTCTTTAGCCTTCCAACCATAAAGCACCTGCATGCAAGTTCAAACATGAAGAACAAAACCTGATAATAAAGTTCAGATGATAAAAAAAACTATGCTAGGATAAATAGGCAAAGTACTACACTGTAGTGCACAGATTAAGCTTCTAGACCTTTCTGTTTTGAACCTCTAGGGAAGAGGAAGCTGCTGCTTTAGCATATGAACATCCATACCCAGTTTTGCATTCTGTTCATTAACAACCTAGATTAGCATAGAATGCAAGCAACAACACACACACAAGAGAGAGAGAGAGAGAGAGAGAAACCAGAAGCTGTTTGCAGGACCACCGAGCAAAGCATCATGACGAATACCAGAGGAAGAAACTGAGCTCTAAATGCCATCTCTCTGATGAAACTTACTGGCAAAGTTGAGAAGAATTGGTTGTAGGGCTTCGAGTAGCAGGAGTTAAGTGGATAATGAGAATTCCATTGATACAGAGTGTCAATTTATAGAGAGATTTGAACAGTAACAATGATTGCTCATGCAGCCATTTGTGGAGATTGTATTTATTGTCCGCTGTAATGACTAAGACACTGTGCAGATAAAATATGCAGAGATTGGATATACCCATTGATGACACCCCTCCCCCTACCCATCACCCCCTCGTCACCAGCTCTTCAGTGACCGTCACAAGTCAAGCAATTACACCTTCCAACTCCAAACGCTCACAACTCATAATCCTTACTCGAACACCCACAATTACTCATTTTTTTAACATCATAAATTTGAAAAAAAAATAGTCTTTTTATTTATAAAAAGGCTAAATTATATATATTTAACTTTTCTCATATTTTATAACGACAAATGTCTCGTATATTTAATTTTTCATTTGATTTGAACTATGTACATGTATAAAGAAAGACCTTTAGCAAATTTGTATATCTCTACATAAATATATGAATTATGTACAAATTTAAACTATTCGAAAAAAGATACCCAAAAAAAAAAAAAGTTAATTGGGTTGTGCAAATTAAGTTTTCGAATAAATTTTTGCCTTCTAACAATCTCAAATATGAATAAAAAAATAAATTAATCGAACAATCCAATTGGATTAATCAGAACACCCATGGTCCCCTGCCATGAAAAAGGTAATATTACTTCATCACCCCCCGCCCCCTTTTTTTTTCTCTCCCATGATGACGTCATCAAAAGATACATTACCTAAGAACACAACAAATGGCAACGTAGGATTATAATTCCTTAAGAAATAAAGTACGAGTTTCTGTTATGTTTTAGATTCCCATCTATCTATCTAGGTTATGTGATATTGTTGTGGGTCACCCTTCGTGGGATTTGCTTTATATGGCTGGAATATCAACGGTAACTCTCTCTCTCTCCGGTCTTTCACAGGTACACATTGCTCTGTATTGACAGTGAACAAGATACTTTTTACATCAAAAGAAAAAACTGCGGCTAGGCTAGTACAGTAGCTGGGAGAGAGAGAGAGAGAGATAGTGAGGTCATAGTATTTACATTATAGGTGAATTTTTGAGGATAGTACAGCTGCCACTCCAATGTGACACTGGTCAAGCTCATGAATCATGATGATACACTAAAAAATTAAAACTTTTTTTAAAATTTTATAATTTTTTGGTAAATGACTATGATACAGCGGTCCCAAAAATTATAATTTCTTATGATTAAATACAACTTGTAAAAGACATTATCAATCTAAAAAGGTGAAATAGATGTTAAAAATTATAACTTTCAAAATTTAATAATAATTTTTAAAAAGTAAAATTACCAATTATAAGAGAGAAATTATAACTATACAGAGAAAATCTATGATCAATAAAGTATTTTTTTTAAACAGTTGTTTTTTTTTTAAGTTGTAATTTTATCATAAAAAAAATATAATTTTTTGATGTGATTGATTTTCTCTAATTTTTAATACAATATAGAAAATGGTACCGTAGCGTAGCGTAGCGTAACCACCATTGCTGTGATGAAGACATGTTTATCGACTGGCATTAGTATGAGATCTTTATGAAGAGACTGATTGATGTGGATGTGGTTTCGCCTTGTGCAGTAATCTTTATTTAACACAATAATTACGGGAGAGATCTGGAGTTCCCAATTTCGTGTGGCTGTGCTGGCTTCCACGCCTAAGGTTCTTCCACAAAGACTTGATCATATAATACCCGATACATTTTTAGACCCATGTCTAAATTCATGTCCAAACCCAAGTCCGTATACATTTTAGACCCATACCCACTAACCCAGACCTCTCCTCCTTCAATCGCAAAACAGCCCTCCCCTCCCCTACCATCTCCTACTACCTAGCTCACTCCTTCTCTACCCCAATTAATCAACCCTTCCCCGAACCCTCCAGCCGCCACCCCTATCCCTTTGTCTCTCCCGCGCGTTCTTTCTCCCTCTCTTTGTGTCTCTTTCTGTGTTCGACGAATTCTATATTAGTTTTTCAATTGGGCTTGAGATTAGGATCTATAGTTTAGGCTTCCCCAAGTTGTGCATTCACCATTGGATGAATTAGGGTTTAAATCTATTCAAAGCTTTGTGTGGTAGATCGATCCGATATGGTGGTGAGTTTCAATCATGGTTCTAAATAATGGTAGCGAACATCCTTATGATAACGGTAATGGTGTAACAGGTGTGGAGTGTATGAGTGTTAGGTAACTGAAACAAAAATTGAAAGTGTGAATTTTTATTTTTTTTGTGTTCACGATTCATAATAAAACTTAAAATGTGTGTCCAAAGTTAAAAATCAATAAAAGACTAATTTTATTTGTTTCATAACAAGGTTTTTCATATTATAGAAGCAATTCTGATTAGTTAGTTTAAGCAAAGTTGAAAAAAAATTAGTTCAAGTAACAATATAGAATTGTAGATGTGTTTTATTCCAAGAGAGTCTCGGAGGGTTAATTGTTTTCTCAAGAATGTGTTTAACCTCCTGATTGGCAAGCTCTGACTATCTACTTGTCTATGGGTAATAGGAGTAAATATTGAATATAACGACAATATCATATCACTATTGATAACATGACATCACCAATCAATAATATAACTTTAAATGGACAAAGTGGACCCTATTTGGGCTTACATAACAGAATAATGAAGAGTTATTTGTTTACATGACATGTTAGTTATTATTTTTTGTAGAGTCCAACTATTTATTTGTTTTAGTATTATTAGTTGGTGATACCACATCACCTTACCACATGGTATCACCGTTATAATGAATATTTTCTCGAGTAATAGGGGTTGCCACCTTATATGTAACACCATATTTCTTCATTAAGTTTTCAAAGTTCTATTACAAAAGGACAATTTTTCATCATTAATAACGGTATACCAAACCTTGGCAATACATTTTCTTTCAAAAATTTCAAAATGGTTTTGTGATCTTGTTTTTACAATGTATAACTTCAACCCATTTAGAGAAACAATTTTTCACCGCTAGAATGTCTAAATATCTAAAAGATTAAGGGCATAGACCTATGAAATTAATGCCCTAACAGTCAAAAATTTTAATTATTAAAATAGGATTAAGGGGATCATATTCCTACGGGTTATTCCCTCAAGATTTTGACAATGCTCGCAAGTTTTACAAAAATTATAAATATCTTTAAAGATCATTGACCAATAAAACACACAATGCAAATTTTTTACAATGATTTTTTTTTTGGTTGAAAAATGGCCTCCACATAAATAGAATATACTTTGTACCTCATCATCAGACACACATTTGTAGATAATTTGGTCAGGGCAATACTTGAATACGTAAGGATCATCCCAAAAGAAATTTCTCACCTCAACCAAAAACTTCATTTTGTCTTACGCACCCCAATGTGATGACATCTCACATGTAATAAGAAAATTCACTATGTCAACAAACCAAGACAACTCAAAAATGGGTAATAGTTGTTCATTCGGGAATGTATCATTGATCGACATTATTTCCATGGACTCATCACAAGTCTAACCTAGTAGTTTGCAATTAAATTCTCTACTTCTTTCTTATCTTTATTGGTTATAACAAATTCTTGGACTAAAAGAATCCACCTAAGCAATCTAGATTTAGCATCCTTCTTGGTAAAAAAGTACTTAAGTGTTGCATGGTTTGTGAATATGACAATAAGTGTTCCTACAAGATGTGACCTATACTTATCTAATGCAAATACTGTTGCTAGTAGCTTCTTTTCTTTTGGTGGAGTAATTTATTTGTGCACTGTTCAAGGTCCTACTAGCATAGTATATTACATCATGTTTCTTATATTTTCTTTGTCCTAGAACTGTCTCATAGTATAATCATTGACATCACACATAATTTTGAAAGGAATACTCCAATTTTGGGGGTTGCATTGTGGGAGCAATAGTGAGCATGTCCTTTAGCTTATCGACAGCTTCTTGGCAAAGCTCATTCCACCCAAAAAGGGTGTCTTTCCCTAGGAGGTTGCAAAAGGAGTCAACTAAAAACTTTAATAAACCTCATATAAAAATCAGCATGACCCAAGATAGATCTAACATCCTTAATAGTTTTTGGGGTAGGCAGATTAGAAATTAATTCAATTTGAGCTTTGTCCACTTGAATTCCTTCTGAGGAGACTAAGTGACTTAGGGAAATTCCTTTCTGAACCATGAAGTGACACTCTTTCAATTGAGCACTAGGGTCTTCTCTTCACACCTGATCAAGACTTTTTTCAAGTTAGACGGACAATCATCAAAAGAATCACCAAAAATGGAGAATCATCCATAAATGCCTCAAGAAAATACTCAATCATATAGTTGAAAATACTTAGCCTGCATAGTTGAAAGGTGGTCAGTGCATTACAAAGCCCAAAAGACATCATTCGATAAGCAATCTCTATCTAGTTACAGCCTGAATATCTGTCTAAATAGTAATAAAAAAGGTGTGCAACTACCCTTTATAAAATTTGGTCCATGAAGGGTAAGGGGAAGTGATCATTTCTAGTGACAACATTAAATTTTTTGTAGTATATGCACATTCTCCAGCTAGTAATGATCCTAGTAGGCACTAGCTCTTTATTGTCATTAGACACTACAGTCACTACTGACTTCTTAGGGATAATTTGGGTATGACTCACTCATTTATTATCAGCTATAGTGTATATGACACCTACATCCAATAGTTTCAACATTTCATTTCTAACTACGTCTTTCATGTTAGGGTTGAGTCTTCTTTGTATCTCCCTAAATGGTTTTGCATTGTCCTCTAAATAAATTTTTGGGGCACACTAAGGGTCTAATTCTCTTGATATCTACAATAATCCATCCTATGACACCCTTGTGCTCTCTGAGAATTTTAAGCAATTTACCTTCTTGGGCTGAACTAAGATGTGAAGTGATAAACACCAGCAAAGTGTCTTCTTGGCCAAGGAAAGCATACTGCAAGTCTCTGGGTAGTGGCTTCAACTCCATCTTTGGTGCTTTTGAACTAGATGGTAATGGAAAATTGTGTCTTGGTGGAAGCACCTCAAATTTCTACTTTCATCCCCTCAGTTCATTCACTTGAGAAGAACTCCAAATAGAAGTTCATTCAATTCAAGATTTTCTTCGCCAAAAAATAAAGCCGAATAGTCAAACAAGCAAGCTTAATTTCCTGTGGCAATTGTGTTGTGATCGTGCAACAATTATGGTGAATAGTAAGGAATCAAACAATTAAGAAAGCAGGAGAAAATAACACACAGAGATTTACGTGGTTCGGCAATGTACCTACATCCACGAGAGCGAGCGGCCGTTCTTTTCCATTATAGAATAGGGTTACATCTTAAGTATTTATATAACCCTAATGTGGACGTATTTATAAAAATACCCCTGTACCGTACTGCGGGGGCGTTGCCCCCGCACCCCCAACTAATCAGCGTCCCCTTTATATAAATCCCGCAAGGCAGATGCCGTCGCGGGCTCCGCTCCGGCATCTGCCTCCTTGCCATTATGCACACAGCAAATATGAGCCACACATACTCTAACAAATTGTTATATGGTTGAGATTGTGTGAGATTGAATCATAGGGCGTCTATCAACTACTAGTCTGCCATTTTATACACATTGCTAGCATTTCAAGTTCAGTAACTCAAAAAAAGCTCTCCTTTTCAAACCCCCCTCCCCCCCTTTTTCTTTTTCCTTCGTTGCACCTTGGCTGCTCCATAACAAAATTTCTGCGGGCATCAGAAGGTATACCCTGCATGCTGTGATTCTGTGGTGATCCTTCCTCAGTGTTGTCTGACAGATGGTAATAATTTTGCTGAGATAATATGAACATTAATTTCATGATATCTTGCGTATGTACAAGCACACACGATGGATAGTAATTAATTTCACGGGAACTAATTTTCTTTTATGCTTTTGGCAGAATGCTCTTGCAAATTCATAGTTTTGGAGGCCAATGCTAAGAATGGCATTACCTCAGTCCAATATGAACGAGGATTTGTCAGAACACTAGTATCAGAATAGAGCAGTTCATACCTGTGTGGGAAAGTTACTAGATCATTAAGTTTCTTGCGTTGGTGATAAAGCTAGGTTTCATTTTGTGATGCTGAGTAGTAGTAGTTGCTCTTTTGAAATGTTGGGTAGCTATGTTAGGTTTCTCGGGCGTCTTCTTTTGTGATATGGCTATGAAGTTCAGTTACATTAATGTCCGTTTTCTTGTTCAATGAATTACATAACAGTTTTGTAACTTTGAACTACTTTACACATTCTATGGTTTTCACACATTTCCATTGATGGGGATAAAGTTTGCTATTTAAAACTGTTGACTCGATTGGATCTTTGGGTAGTACTCCATGATTCTTGAGTTTGCTTAATGATTCTGTATTTGGAAGGAATGGAGTTTGAATTCGAGCTCGTAGTGAAAACCTAGTAGAGCTCGGACATCTCACACTCTACCCAAAGTGAGTGATTGAATTTGAGCCAAATATGAACACCCCAACATTAACTCAAGTCGAATTTGAGCATCCTTGAAGTTAGAAAGGCTCAACTCGATTAACACACTCACCAATACTGTACCCAACTATGTATTTGCAGGCTATTTGCGATAATAAGTGGATTAATTGATTATCATTTAATCAAGAGATGTTGTCTCTCATGATTTCAAAGCAAATTTCCTAAATCATTCAGCTCCTGAATCAATAGACTATATATGAGTGGAGAATCTACAAGAGTCAAATTTTATTTTTCAGATCTGTTATTGTATAGTACTGATGCAAGATGAAGGACAATGATAAACCATTCAGTTATTGCTTTGAGATGTGTTACAATACGCGACGCACTCCCCCACTTGCGACTAAGGATGGCAGTAGATCGGAGAAAAACATGTATTCGTCCAAATCCGTTTCGTTTGGACCGGGGATGGACTATACATATTGGACGGTGGACGTATACGGGAATACCCATATCAACCCGTACGGGAATGAAGGCGGGAATGGACTTACCCTTATCCCACGCTCCCGCTACCCGTTATACATATATACTCTTTTCTTAAATGCCGATTTGGTAATTGCTATTTGGATTCCTTCTTTCAGTTTGGTTGAATTGGGTGCAAATTGCAAAATTATTGGACCGACTTGCATACTTTGGTTTAAAGAAGTCCACTTGTGATAGGGCTTTATCTCTTTTACTTTGGGGATGGTAATACTGCACTTTATGAGGACATCATTAAATGTTTGATGGTTTATGATTGACCCGGGTACGTAATGGAATGACTACAGGTAACTGAAGTCGTATTGGGCATAGAGTGTGACTATAGAAATTTGAAAGTAGATGAGATAGTAAACTGGTCTGTGCTTTAGTTTTTGAAGCAACACCCGCCCTAAAATGTTGGGTTGAGCTTGGGTTTGGATTTTGACTTAGGCTTAAATTTGAGTTTGAGCTTGGACTTGGACTTGGGTGGGCACAGGGGAAGCGGGGACGGGGACGGATATTAAAAATTATCCGCGGACGAGAATGAGGATGAAAACTATACTCGTTAACGGGAGTGAACAAAAAATTAATAGAGTTTTTTTAAGTGGGTGCGGGGATAAAGACTACACCCCCACCCCCGCTTCGATCCACTGACAGTCTTAGTTGCGACACCTTTTTACGTAGAGAGGTAAACTTAACTAGTAGAAAATAGAACAATAGATAGAACAATATTTATCAATTGTACAGACAAACGAGAGAATACAAACCAAACCCACGAGATTGATATGGTAGGTTTTGTCAAAAACCTCCCAATACTAGCCAATCCTAAATAGTTGGAATAAATACTTTGTAGAGTAGCAATGAATACAGTTGAATAGATTCCTTAATGTTTTAATATTAAGGAATCTATGATAAAGTACATTAGTGCACTACCGATTTAAATTGCCAATAAATGGAAGAAAAATAATTAAGCAACACCAGAAAAAACAGGGGTTGTCCATCTGTGAAACAGTTGGAAAACTCAATATGATATTGAAGTTGGATGATCCTTCTTCTTGGTGGTCCTCTTGAAATGTTTGGAGGCAACTTTCAACAGCTTAGCCCATCCCTACATGTCAGTAGTTGATCGATCATTCAGAAGGAAACAAAAACATTTATAATTTTCAATATTATGCGATAATACGATATAAACCCATCACAAGATTTATGAGTTAGAATTGACTAGTTTTTTATACGAAACTGAAACGACCAATTAACATGAATAATAATCAAGTTAGAGTAAACATAAGCAATCCGAGTCTAACACGATAAATGGGTTAACTCATATAATATTTAAGCATCTAGACTGAATAAATTTTTAGTTTACAAAAAATTACTAGTAGTCGTTGACTTGATTGAGATGGAAGAAACTTGTGATTTTTTGAATCACGGTATCTAACACGATTAACTAGATAAATTAGTTATAGTTGATTTTTACTTGATGTGGATTACATAAGTCACAAACCCACAACCCTAAAATTCACTTGTTCAATGAAATAAATGACCAAAAAATAAAATTGTATAAATCTAAGTAAAACACAAGCATCATCTCTTTTTTTTCCTTCTTCCATTTTAGATAATGGTAATTCAAAGCAGAAAAAAGTAGGAAAATTGAAGTAGAAGCAAGACTTATCAAGTATATATACTTGTTTAGACTTAAAATATAAAATCCCAAGAGTAAAACTGTCTATCGATTGGAATTCTTTTGTTGATCTTAACAGATTTTGGAGCAACAATACTAAATTGAAAGGAGAGCGGGTAGAGGAGAGGAGAGAGATTACCTTTTTTGGGGTTGGGGTAGTAGAATTACCCTCAACAGAAGGATGGTTTGGGAAGAAATCAAAATCCACCTTTTTGTTCATCATCTTCTTCTTCTTCTTCTTTACCTTCAATTTATGATAATTTTGAACATTACCAAGCACAGTAGAGCTAATCTTCTTCTTAATGTTTGCAGTCACTTTCTTCAGAGTGGTATTTTTCTTCTGGGACCACCCATCATCCTCCCCATAGGATAGCTTTCTCTGTATTGAAGATATACCAAGTCCCATGGCCATGACAGAGAGGCCACAGCTACCACTACTGTTAGCAAAGGAAGGGAAGGGGCGTGGGACTAAAGGGGACCAGAGGGAGCTCTGGGAGTAGTCGAAATCGAAGGCTGAGTTGTCTGGGAACTTGCAGAGAAGCTCTCTGGACATGGATGACTCCAAATACTCCACCACCACCACCGCACCACCACCACCACAGGTATTCATAATTTCTCAGGCTGAAAATCGTGCTCTCTCTCTCTCTCTCTTTCTGCTGCTTGCTTTGTTTTCTCGTCGATGTTGAATCCGGATTGAAGCTTTGTTGTTGAAGGTGGAAGTGAGAAAGAAGAAGGCAGTGTGGGAAGAAGAGAAGAACAGAGGACACCAAAAAGTAGCCGTTGCGATGTGATGCTTTCAAAAGTTGGTCGTTAATTTAAGAGAAAATTACACTTACACCCCCTAAACTATGCCCTTTTTTTCATTGCCCCATAAACAATCGAATAATGCATTGTGACCTTAAAATCTGACCTAGTCATGCTTCAAATGATAGAGTTAAAATAGAGAAGTCCAACGGTTAGAATTATAATAATACTATTAGTTTGAGTTCACATGCCCCATTCGTTGACTTTTGTCTAATTTTACATGTCAAATCAATGCAAAAATAGAATTCCTCCCAATTGGAGAGGGAAAGACAACATCTTCTAATATTTTGAAACTTCACTTTTGCCTTGATTTTCTTATAAAAATTGGACAGAGGTTAACTATTGGAGAAATGTAAAACTCAAACCTATAGTTCATGGTGCAATGCAAGAACACAAATAGTTCAACGGCCAATGTAAAATAAAATCATAGTTTAGGGGTTTAAGTGTAATTTACATTATGCACCAGGGTGATTACGCAACAAAAAGTAACATTATTTAAATCTAAAAATCTAACATAAACTGTTGACCTAATAACGTGATTTTATTATAGTCGTTAAATTAATATCAAATTTCAATATTTGATGCAGTTCACAATCAATCAAATGACTATAGTAAATTAGTCAATAAATTAGGTCCAAATATAATTGCTCCACAACGAAATTCAACAAAAAAAATTTATCCACAATTCTTGGCAATTAAAGTTAAAAATCGTTTGAATTTTATTTGAAAGTAAAGTAATTTTGAACCTAAAAATACATTTTCAATAGAATACCAAATATATTATTATGATTGTTGCTAGTCATCAAAGTAGGTACTCTCAATGGATCAAATTTTTATTCGAATCCGAATCTAATTAGTCGGATATGGATTGACATTTTTTATCGATATTTTATATTTTTCACAAATTCATATTTGAACATACCTATATCTGATCCGATTCAAATTATGTATATATTTTTATATGAATATTAAAGAAGTAAGTGATTATTTAAAGAATTTTAGTTGAAATATAGGTATAATTTGTCAAATTTTAGTTAATTAAGTTATTCGAATTGAATTTTCAAATCGAATTTCAGATTGTTAATGAATTCAAATATGAACCACACAAATAAAATTCGTCGGATTATTGAATGTATTCAAATCAGACTTTTAAATCTAGATTCAAATCAGTCAAAATTCGATCCAAATCCAAACTGTTGCCGGACCCATATGGGAGAATATATTAATAAAAAGGTGAGAATGAAAGGGGTACACATCCTTGCCAATTTTTTTTTCTTTGATTTTCATCCTTGCCAAATCATTTACCATTAATCAGTTAAGGACCCACTTAAATACATTAAATCCAGAAAGAAATTGTATTAGAGATGGCCAAGTTTTGAATAAAAGTGTACTGATGTTAGAGGAAGAGATGAAGTCATGAGCATAGGCTTTTTGGGGATTTTTTGGTTGATATAATATTAATAAAATTGTTAAAAGGATCTTTTGAACATTTAATTTCCTAAGGTAATGTAGTGATCCAACATTCTAACTTCAACAAGAGTATAGATGATGCAGAGTTTAAGTACAACACAAGGGAATCTATCAGGATAACAATCATCTTTAAGTAATAATTACATGGACATCAATATACTTATACACACTACACTTACATATGCAATATAACCATCAAAAGGAAAAATTTGAGTCACAGCTCCTTTGATGTACATCAGAGATGTTGTCCTTCAAAACTGATGTCGTTTATGTGCAAAACGGTGTCCTTTGAGGAACAGAACCCCCTGCTGTACAGCACAGGAGCCAGACCCAAAAATTTGTTTGACCAAAAAAAGAGGATGTAGAGCAAAGAAACACAATACATTCTGAACAAACATAATCAACCTCAGACCTAAGAATACACAACATTAGGGTCAAGACCCATAAGCTTCCTTGTCTTCCCCACAAACAAATCTCTGGACTTGATGAAACCAGGAACCAGTCCAATGACGGTTGTAAATGAAAATTGTGCCACTGCATCTTGCCTCCCCAGTGAAACAATAGCCTTCACTGAGCGAGGCTCGTAAATCGCCATTTTCGTTTCCTTTCCTCCAGTCATCAGCAGTTTCAAGTTCTTTGCGGCAACTAGAGCATGTTTTTGAGCGAAATACCCTTGCTTAATTTCCTAGTGTAACATTTTTCACATACAAATATATCGAATTAGAGATTGACCTACAAAATAATTAAAAAGATCGTAGCAAGTTCACCAGAAAATCTTTCACAACTTTAGACTAGACTAAATATTGATCCTAGATGCACAAGTCTATGTTAGTCATAGAATTATGAAAATGTAGAAGTATATGAATATTTATTTTTTGTTATGTTGCTTCAAACAAGTCGAGCTTTTAGAAGACATGGTGGTTTAAAATGGTATCACAGCATGAGGTCTTGAGCTCCAATCTATCCATCACCCTGGTAGCTATAATACGTACATGTGGTTGGCCAAATATCTGGCTCGCCAGCAAGGAGGCTTGTTGAAGTATATGGATTTATTTATATTACACCCTTTCTAACAGCTTAAAACTGTTAAAAAAGTCGGGGGTTTACCAGAAAAATGGGTGCGAGTCAGCACTCACCTTAATATCTGTAATGTCTCCGATGGCAAATATATTCTTGCGACCCTTTACTCTCATGTTCTCATCAACCTTCAATCTTCCAAAACTATCCAAACTTTCCTTCAACACAGTGCCCTCTAGCCATGCTGAACCTAATGGTTTCCCTGTGCATACAAAATGGCAATCTGCTTTAATAGTTTCTCCAGCTGAAGTTATGAACGTTTTGCTACCATCTGAAATATTGTTCAAGTTCACCGTCTGCTCCAGTTTCATATCCACCTTCTTTGATCTCAACCAATCTAGCGTCTTGTTCGATGCTTTTGGGCCGATGAATTCCAGCAACCTTGATCCATTATGCACTAGAGTAACCTTCTTTTCTGGAAAATCAACCGCGATTTCTCCCGCAAGTTCAACACCAGTAGGACCACCTCCAATAATCAAAATGGACTGAGAAGCTTTTATCTTCTCATTTTCTGCCAATCGTAAAAAAACCATATTTTGTTCAATGAATAAATACAATTGCTGATAGTTTTGGTTAAATTCTAGAAATACATGCTAACATTATCACAGGTATGAATACAGAGATCTAGGTTTCACCCGTGGATTGTGTACGAACACAATACAAGTCCAAAAGCAAGTTAAGAAAGGGTCTAGCTAATGGAGATATCTATGGACAGTAAGCAACTATAAGTATCCTCATGGGCAACACAGTTGTTAAATTTTTTTCCCAAGGCAGAAACAAATTAAATAGTAAGTATCTGTAGAACTGATGATAATCATATAGTACTTAGAACAATTTCTAACATTTCCTGTCACTTCAACAACATATATTTGCAGCTCATAATAAGGAGAATGGTATTTGAATTGATGCTCTGTAGTTTTACCTGCTTGGTATTGCTTAAGTTTCTCGGTTCTATTTTTTGGACTAGGATCATTATGGCCAGTGGCAATGACAAGGTAATCATAGGTAACCAGACGGCCCTCTGAAGTCAAGACTTCAGTGTCAGTGATGTTGATGGCGCTGGACACGATGAGATGGCCATTGGTGAGGTAATCTTTATGGTGGATCACTGATCTTTCTGCAAATGATGGCTCCACCATTGCTCTCAAGCTTGCCCATGGAATCTCAAAGTAGTCCTTCCTGATAACAATTTTCAATTACAAACAGAACCCAAGAAAGTAAGAAATATGCGCTTTTATGAAGATGATGTAAACATAGGATAGTACAAAGAGAGGTAAGTGGAAGAATGGTATGAAATCCTGAGGTTAACAAAATGTATTACTTGGAAGAATGGGATTTAGTTATGTGTATAGCTCTTTTCATATCAATCTTCTTCACCCTCCCACCCTTTCTAGATATCATGAATCATTATTATATTCTAAATCAAAGACATTTTTAGCAAAAGTGCTTCGATCTCCACCGTATGGTTCGGTCAGTATCACATTATAGAAAGGAATGACATACAGAAAGAAAACACATATCGGTGGCATGAAGCACTTGATTATATTATGCCATTTCTCTCTCAAATGCTTGAAGTATTGGGGTGAACTAATGGAATACATAATTGAATAGATTGCTCGTTATTTGCCTCCACCGTCAATGTTATCTTATTGGATAATGCGTCTATCTGATAAGCTTTCTCTCCTTTTCCTCCTGTTAATGGTGTCAAGAAATTTTGCCTCTAGATTTGAACCAATTGCATCGATTATTTGAATCCATTTGGTGCACATTCTTCCTCAGAAAAAGAATTAATTAATTCAATGTTCCTCAAAAAAGAGATTAGCAGAGAGAATTCAAAGAATAAGTAGATGTATTCCCAGGCTACTTACGAATAATCAAAAAGAGAATGAACAATGGGACTCCCATGATCATAGGTGAGATCAAAATTGGTAGGAACCCTTATTGAATTTATCGAAATAAGGTGGTGATAGTGACTTTTGCTAAAAATAAAGGGGCGTACCTAATGGACTAAACATGGGAGGATTAGATGAACGGAGTCTTACACCAAGTGACTTTTGTTCAACAAAAAAAAAATATCAACACTCCATAATTGCTACAAGAACAATTCAAGAAGCCTTCTGAGTTCACCTCAATAAAATTTAACTACTGAAAAAAATAAATAAAACAGAAAGCTAAAGGCAAGCATTGACCAAATTCATTATACGGAGGATTGGCAGCCCAGTATACAATTTGGGATTTAAAAAAAACAGATAGCTCAATAACATGAAAGGTTGAGAAATTAAAAAAAAAAGTACAGAAGACAGAGAGAATACAAAGACGAGATGATAAGAAGAGGGTAGTGAAATTGAAGAGCATGTAAAAGGGAAAGGATAAAAATGGGAGCTTACGGATCAATAAGAGTTACATCTGCATGGAATTGAAGAGATTTAGCAATGAAGGAGCCAGCTACTCCACCGCCAATCACCACCACCCTCCTCCCTCCACCGCCCCATTGTTCTGGGTTCTCCATCCACAGTTTTTTCTTCAACTCCCTATGCTTCAATTATCTTCCTCCTCAAGTTCTCTTACTAAAACATACATGGTATACATCTATTTACTAGATTGTAATAGGAGAGAGAGAGAGAGAGAGACTAATGAGGTTGAACCCAGGGAGAAGAAACTTAAGAGGGCCAATGGTGGTTAGGTGTTTACTTGGTCTTGATAGCAATACGGTTGAGACTGGTTGTACTATTCAACTTGTGTCCAAATTAATCATTGTCAACCATAGGATGGAACAAAGCAATATTAAAAATAAAAATATAAAATGGGGAGAGAATCCAATGGATTTCAGGATTGGTAATTCAACAACTGATTAGAAGACTCGAGGTGATTTTTTTTTTTTGGTTTCTAACGGTTAGAAGTGTCATCCGCGTACTTCGGTTAATTTCTTCCTCAATCTAATGATGATAAATTATTAAATCTGATCAAAATTTATAAAAAATAAGTTCAAAAGATTCAATTCTCATGGTCTAAAATCATAACTTATATTAGAACGTGTAAAACATTTGTAATTTTTTTTCTTAAAATTTTTTTTGATTGAGATAATGTAATTGGGGAGACTACGAATATCCATACTACTTTAAACCATCACATTAAATAAATTAGAACTTGAACTTATGTTTTAAAATATTACACCAATAACATATTCTAACTTGAACCATCTCTGGAGGGTTTCACTTTTAAGATTTATAACTATTAAAAATTATATTTTGAAAAACAAATTTTCGTAGTTGAACAATTCAAAAATAGCCAGAGTCATGTCGTTATCCATAGTTACTTGGTCACATCACAAGTCATGATCCCAAAGTCATGGACAATGCTTTTAAATATCAATGAAATGTTTTAGAATACAACCTTATACTAAAAGATTATATGGAATTTTCATTACCGAATGACCTTTTCTTAATGACTACGCCTAAATTCCAAAAAAGTCAACAAGAAATGGGTTGACTTTATTCTCATGAATCTAGAGGCTTGACATGTTCAAACTTCAAGGGAGGGCCGGACTGGACCCAAGTTAAGATTTATAACTAAAGGTCCAACCCAAGACTACTAAGCCCAAACCTAAACCTAATACAGAAAATGGAATTCAGGTTGCACCTGCCCAAAAGTTAAGTCTCCTTTCTTTCTTTTTTTTTTCTATTTTTTTTTTATTACAAGGTATTCAGACTTGTATTAACTATTTTCTCGAGCTCAACAGTTAGCCACCGTAATTTAAACTGTGTTAGAGCATGTCCTTAAAGGTATAATGGTGACTAGCCCTTAAGAGGTGTGAGAGGAGATTGAATGTGAGACTATTAGGTTACCAAATGTCAAGCTTAATCACTGAACCACCTCTAAAGATTAAAAGCTAAGTGTACTTGATTATATAGATTTGAAACAAATTCAATAACTATTTTTTTTTATTTTAATATTGTGAGGAGATATATGAATTCCAGAGGAGAGTAAGTGTTTTTTTTTTTTGATCCAAAACAAGCAGTGTGTATCATTTCATTAAGTAGGAAAATTTGAATTACAATCAGTAGTAATAAAAGCCTTAAGCTCGGGGGGGGGGGGGGGGGGGGTGGAGACCCAACCCATCCTCGCGAGAGTGAGTTGTGCATCATAGCGGCTGCCAGCCTTTAACTTAACTCTAGACTTGTGTAAAAAATTAATCATGTGTAATCTATCTATGCTTATAATGTCTTCCACAACAGTGCTGATTTCCCATGGTGGAAAATTCTCTATGGCACTCAGTTTGATGGCATTTAGGCAGTCACTTACCATTGTAGCATTCATCAGTGAGTTGGCTTCAACCATGAGGCATGGATGTTGGATCGCCACTACTTCAGCATACAAACTTGATATGGCAAAGAAAGATTTTGCAACACCATCCATCAGACCTCCCTTTGAATTTAAGAAGAGAGCAGCACAAGATGTTTCATTGGTTTTAGTTTTAAATGCTCCATCACAACAAATAATGAACTTAGAATTCGACTGTGGCATTGTTTCCTCGCTTTCCAGTGGCTTAGACAGGTTTTTTTCCTACGCATATCCTCCATGTTAAATAGCTCATTCCACAAGCCTTTGACTCTCAACACAATAGCAAAAGCATTAGGGGTCTCATTGTTGAAAATTTTCTGATTCCTTGCTTTCTATATGATCCATCCCACTGTCGCCATCAATCCCAACACCTCATGCCTCCTTTGAGGATCACTAACTGTTTCCAGAATCTGGGAAGTTCGTTGGGAAATAGACATGAAACCAACCTGCTCCACAATAAAAGCCATCTCCATCCCAAACTACACCCTTTTGGTCCATTCACATTCAAACATTAAGTGTTCAACTGATTCTGGGGCAAGCAGACAAATCTTGCATACAGGCGAAGTAGCACACTTTCTCTTGTAAAGGTTCTCTTGAGATGCTAGTATATTATAGCATGTTTTTCACCAAAAATGTTTCACCTTATACACTGCCCTCATGTTCCAAATCGCTTGCCACATCTTTGGATGGGGGAAAAGGATGAGTTTGTCTCTCTCGGACAAGATTCCTTAGCAATCCCCAACTTGTACCCTAATTTCACCAAATATTCCCCCTTATGATCAGGCCACCAAATCCTCTTATCATTTCCTCCTTTAACTGGGATTGGAATAAACTGAATGATTTTCATTTCTTCCTCAGAGACATTGTCCTGGAATGTTTGGACATTCCATTGTAATGTTCTTTCTTTTATAGCATCAACAACTAGATTGATCCAGCAGTCTTGTGGTCTTAGAGAATGCACTCCCAGATTAGCAAAGTGAGGAATCCACTTTTCATCCTAGAAGTTGACCTCGTTACCATCTTTGATCTGCCACATTGTGCCTTTTCAAGAAACTCCCTCCCATGAAGAAGACTGCTCCAGATCCATGAGGGTCTTGCCCCTCGTTTAGCTTTTATAAAGTCTTCATTAGGAAAATAGATGGCTTTGATGAACTTTGCCTAGAAGGCATTCGGGTGGTTAAGAAGCCTCCAGCACTGTTTAGCTAGTAATGCTTGGTTGAATAGATTGAACTCTTTGAAACCCATTCCTTCCTTGTCTTTTGGCTCCACCATCTTTTCCCAATTCTTCCAGCAAATTCCACTGTTTCCCTCCCCATTCTTCCACCAAAATTTCCTTATATATTCATTTAGTTGATGACAAAAGCTTTTCGGTAGTTCCACCACTGACATGATGTAATTGTGAATAACTTGAATAATTGCCTTAATCAGTACCTCCTTTCCTGCTTGTGTTAGCAAGATGCTTCTCTAGCCTTATAACTTCTTCATAACCCTCTCCAAAATGTATCCAAAAGTTTCCTTCCTCAGCTATTCCATGCTGTGAGGATCCCCAGGTATTTTGCATTGTGTGGGAGACTTTGCATTCCCAAGAGATTGCAAATGAAGGTTTTTTGTTCTAATGAAGTGTTGGTAGAGAAAATGATCCCTGATTTTTGGTGATTGGTACACTGTCCTGATGCAACACAGTAACTTTGAAGAATTCTGATGAGTTCCATGACCCCTTCTTCCTTCGTCTTGATGAAAAACAAAGAATCGTCTGCAAATAACAAGTGGGAGATAGCAGGGCTCCTTCTCTTCACTTTTATTCCTACAAACTTCCTATTTGCAGTTCCTTTGCTTAACATTAGAGACAAAACATCAGCAACTATGATAAAGAGGTACGGGGAGATGGGGTCCCCTTGTCTGATCCCCCTTTGAGGTTTGATATCACATTTCCTTTCATTGTTCAGAATCATTTTGAGGGACACTGTTCTAACACACTACATCACAAGACTCACCCAGCGACAACATAAATTTTTAGCATAGTTGCCTCCAAAAAATCTCATTCCACTCGGTTATGTGCTTTACTTATATCCATTTTGATCACCATTTCAGGCACCCTTCCTTTCCTCTTGCCTTTTAGATGATGGAATACTTCGTTTGCTATCATGATGATATCCTAGATCTGTCTATTTGGGATGAAAGCTGCCTGATTTGGAGAGATTATATGGCTCATGATCCCTTTTATCCTGTTCGCCAATACCTTAGAGATAACTTTGTACAAAAAATTGCAAAGAGCAAAAGGCCTGAACTGAGATAAATCTTCTGGGGCGTTTTCCTTTGGTATGAGGACAATATTGGTTGAGTTTAGCTCTTCCAACAGTGATCCTTCATCGAAGAATTTTCTTACCACATTAATAACTTCTTATCCCATGATATGTCAGAAAGTCTGATAGAAAACCCCAGGGATGCCATTTGGACCCGGGGCTTTGAGGGCTCCCAACTGGTTTACTGCCTCATGCACTTCCTTGTCAGTAATGGGACTCAACAGATTCTAGTTCATCTCCACTGTAACCTTACATTGCACAACTCTCAAGATTTCGTCGAACTCTCTCTCCCCATTTGTGGCAAATAGTTTTTTGGAAGTAATTCTCAATGAGACCATTGATCTCATCCTCCTCTTCCACCCATTAAGCATCCTCATTCCTGAGCTTGATGGTCTGGTTTCTTTGTCACCTTTGGATGGTAGACAGATGGAAAAATCTTGTGTTTTGGTCTCTTTCTTTCAACTAGTTGATCCTCGATCTTTGCAACTAGAATTTCTCCTCTTTGCTTCTAAGTCCATCCAATTTGGAACATAATTCCGTTTCCTTCCTCAAGTTTTCCTCCGATGGAGTCCACATCTGGACGTTGATAAGTTATTTCTCTAGCTCTTGTAATAGCTTCTTATTATTTCCAAACTTCTATTTACTCCAAGCGGCAAGGCTAGAGCTGCATCTTCTCAACCTATTGACAGTATTAGTCATGACAGAGGTTATAGCCCCTCTGTTCCAAACTTCCTGCACCACCTCCTCACATTCTAAGTCCTCCAGCCACATATACTCGAACTTGAAATAGTGAGGGACTCTTCTTTTTTCCAAACCAAGATTGATGATGATTGGATAGTGATTCGACCCCACTCTAGCTTCATGCAGCACATGTGTGGCTAGGAGGAGAGTTAGCCAATCAATGTTGACTAACACACGATCAAGTCGTTCCTGAACATTGGCTGCCCCAGGTCTGTTGTTGGACCAAGTGAATTTTGGTCATTTGAAATTTTTATCCACTAGGTTACAG